CTGACTGAGACTAAGTAAGTCTCAGCCAGTTTCTGGTAGACCCTCCTGCGACTTATCAGGACCACATTGGCCCACTACACCAAAATTAGCATTAGCACAGCATAAAGTAGCGGAATTCCACTGAAAATTTAGCATAGTGCAGCAGAATTCCACCGCAACTGGCCTCAAAAAAGGGCTGATGCACCGCACAACAGTGTATTTTAGCATTTTTTGGGCTGTTTTTGCCACTAAAAGCACTGTAGCACAGCATAACATGGTGTGGTGAGAGTGACACAAACAGCAAGCTAAAACTACAGGTTTAGTGCACTGTTTTTAGTGCTGTGTAGTCAGGTTGCTTCACTTGGAATATGATTTTAAAATTCCAGATTTGAGAAATTTCACATACTTATTATCTTCATACCATACCCTTTACATATCTCACATCTTTATTTGAAGCCACACCTTTCTTTAAGAGTCCATTGTTGAAATTTAAGACTCAGGCGCGTAAGAGGATGAGGGCCAAAAAAGGAAAGGACTCTTTTTTGGGAAAGGTTCACGGAAAGGAGTTTAAAGAAACGATGGTTTTTTATTAACTGGAAGTAGGCTAGCTTAAGTAGACTAAGTACAAGTGTTCAAAAAGTGGTTTGAGAGAAAATGAATAAAAAAGAATATTGAATAAAAACTGAGAGAAGACAAAACAAGTTCTTGGAAGTAACAAACTATACAAAACTTCTCATTCTCTTTTAGTAATGTCAGATGAGTTAGTCAAGAAAAAATGTTTTGAATCACAAATAACAGGAGGCGTTAATTCTTGTTAACCAATTTTTAAAGAATCAAATAGTGAACTAGCAAAAGAAAGAAGTCAATCACAATGTCTAGAGTTGTTGATAAATTTGCAGAAGAGAGTTCTAATTAGACTACAAAGTGCATAAGATTTCAACGTAAAACTAGCTGGAGTTGACTATAGTTCAGTCTAGATCAAGAAGAATCAAGAAAGAAGAAAGAGAGAAATAAATGGAAAGGAGGGAGTGATTTGGGGAAGAGTAGACCAGAAAAGAGGAAAACTCAACATCCATACTATTCTTGCTTGTTTTTCTTACTATCCCACTAACCAGAGAGGCAGACCTTTGAGAACTCATCCCTATCTAAGCTCTATTCTAGCAAGGAGTAGTTCCACGCCGGGAGGGTTCTTCCTGGCTGCTGAGTTTGTCCAAATCTTGACAACCAGGAGGGCCATTGACATTTGTAAAGCTGTGGCTACCAATCCATCTGCCAGAAGGTTTTTCTGGTGTTTTTATATTTATTTATTTTTTATCAAGATATTTTGGGAGTCAAATCCCATTCCCACAGCATTAATTGGAGGAATGACTCCCACGTGTTAGGGCAACCACAGAATTGGGGCTGGGGATGTCCTGAGACAGTCCCCAAGTATTCCTCCTGACCAATCCCAAATTTGGGAGTCAATTGACTAAGTCCCTATAATTTTTTGGCTAATTAAACCAAAATACATAAGTAAAATAGGAAGATCTGTTGGATCATTTCACAACCAATACGGCTCAAAATTTGCCTGTTGCTAGTTGACCAAGGTCAAAGATTAAAACGGTGTGGTCATAATTCCTGTGTATGAAGGGACAAAATGCAAAATTTTATTATTTATCAATAAAGGACTTGAGATATGGAAAAATGGGCATCATAAATAAAATATGCGGCAAATTTAACCCCTAGTCACTCACTGGAACCACCTTCACATCTCTACTGGATCAGAAGTTACACGGATAAAGGATGTCACACGGAGAATCAAAGGATCAGAGGCATTCAGTGGAGGGTAAATTGCATGAGGGTATATTGCATATTGAATATTGAATATTGAATTCCTTTATTCCATTATGAATTCCTTTTATTCCTGTAGAACCACAAGTTGGCCACCAGTTGTACCAGTTAAATTCCCATTTATTCAGCCACAGAACACATGAATTCCTTTCTTACAGCTTGCATATAAAAGGGATGCATTGTAGATATTCTAGCCAAAATACCTCAGTATTTTCAGGTCCAGGGAAGCTAAAATTACTCATATAGGGGGTCCCTTGGGGCTAAAATTCCTCATAAATTACTATATATTTATTACACAAGAAGCTCACAAGTAGTACAGTTCACAGATTGAAATATATACACAGTTCATTTCACAAACATTACACAGACAAGCCAGTCCTTTGTTCCAATCTTGGTTGAAGCAAAGTGCTCCCAGCATTATATTAGGGTTCAAGAACCAACTCTATTACATCACACATATACAATATCAAGACATCAAGACGATAAACAACATCAACAACTCAATAAATTCTTTGGACAACAAGATCAATCCTCAACAAATATACAACCATCTTTGAACATAATCCTTATCATTTACCAAACTGCCAAGCTTACCTTGTTGGTCTTGTTTTCTGATAATATAGAAAGGCAGAGTTTGCAACTCATTTCATCCCTTTCTACATTCAGCAAAAAGGATCTTACAATCACTTTTTGAGTCTTACAACAGCAACCAGAAAAAATTTGAAGGCATGAAAGTGAAATCTAACATATTATTCACAGGAAGTGACACGATTGGGTATTATTGATTTGGTTGAGAGATGAAAGCAGTTGTCAACTTTCCTTCAGCTCTCCAGCCTTGGGTCCAACCATTCTGGAATAGTTGAGTTGAAAGAAGTTGTAATTGTTGAGGCCTTTGATTTTGCAAGTTTTGGAGAGGGGTGTTTTACAGAACCTACAGCTTTGACATATAATTTATTTGCCTTTATCATTCCAGTTGGTTGGGTAGTATGAATGTGGGTTGAATAAATCAAAGCTGTTTGTACAGGGGACATTGGTTCAACCCCAGCAGGATAATTCAGTGGCATAGGAAAACCTAGAGTCACATAATCAGTGTCAGTGCCATGGAGTGTGACAATAAGGCCAGAAAGGGGCTACTGCGGCAAGGCAGACAGCATGGGTGGAGAAAAGGAGTAAACCTAGAATATCATTGCATTAGTTTTACACACATTGTATTTAGCTCACTTAGTCCCATTGTACATGTTTCTCTTTTCTCTTTTTCTCACTCATCATCGCTTTCCTTTCCTCTGCACATTATCAGGTGCATAAGTCCTCCTTCATCTTTCTCTCCTTCTCATTTTCCTCCCTTTGTTGGTCCCATTCTAGCCTCCTTGCTCATCCGCTGCTCCATGGTGTTTCTCAGGTGCATAAGTCCTCCTTCTTCTCTCTCTCCTTCTCATTGGAATCCCTTTGTTGGTCCCATTCTAGCCTCCTTGCTCATCCGCTGCTCCGTGGTGTTTCTCATGGAGAGTCTGACTAGTACCTGAAGTGGGTGTAAGACCTTTTTGAATGGCCCAAGTGCCATGTGCATTCTGACCAGTATCTCCAGGAGGTGTCACTCTAACTGTAGCATCAGGATGAGGGGTTTGCAACAAATTCTCTTAATGAACAAATGGTACCAGAATTGTAGAGAGACTAAGCTGAAGCTGGAGAAGAGGCTCAAATCAGCTTTACTGCATGGACAGCAGCAAATATAGTGCGTGTTTTGGCCTTTTTGCGTAACATATCCCCTCTTTTTCTTTTGCTGTTTTTATTTATCAAAAAAGTATTGATGTTTTGATACTTTACAGTGCTTTATAGAGATTGTTCGTTCGTACTCTGGTACCTGTTGAATTTTTTCAAAAAATAGGTACCAAGTACCGCACCAGGCACCTCCCGGCGGGTACCGGCAGTACTTTTGGCGGGTACCGCGGGTACCTCCCCTCTCTTTCTAACCTAGGTTCACTTTCAGATTACCAAGTCACTTTTTTATTATTATTATTTTCATATTTATTGTAAAATATCAGTCCCAAGTCACTTTTTTCCATTCTTTCATATTTATTTGTGAAATGTTGACAAAAAATTGGAAGAATCCTACTTTGTTATTATATTTTCATATTTATTGAAAATATCATTCCCAAGTCACTGTTTTTCCTTTTGTCAGATATATAGTTGTAAGACAACTTAAACTAATTGGA